AAGCTGCTGTGCGTGTTTTATGGCGTATCCCACATGTGCCCAGTGTGCGCTTGTTATGTAGCGAGCCATTCTGGCCAAAAACGCAACCTATAACGCGATTGAAATTGCAAGAAATGTGATTAATTGGGAATGGCTTGCAATTATTCGGAGAGGGATGCAAATGGGTGCTAACTGGCAAATGAGTGGAGAGCAGGCATCACACATATATTTGTTTTTATACTGTGCATTTTTGGTTCCATGTATTTTTTTATAAATGCATTTTTTAAAATTAAAATTTATTAAAGATATTACTGATATATACATACATTAATTATAATCATCCATGCATACACATGCATATTGCATGTTATACACATATTGCATGTCTTTACAAATCACTAATGATAATATTTTCAATCCGTGCATATTCATTGCTATGACATGGATTGGAAACATGGACTCTGAGAAAGAAAATGGAAGAAGTGTTGTAGAATATACAAAAAAGCATAGAAGACATTGATTCTGGGAGGCGTTTTCACACATGGATCATAAACCAAATGCACAGTAGAGAGATCTCATTGACTGTTAAAAGCATGAATTGCTTTGGAAGGATACACCACTTAAAGGGATGATAGCTTATAGATAAGATTGGTGATTAAAGACAGCCAAAGAAGGAAACACGTCAAAGAGGACACCCGCTGTGGAGATGGAGTGATCTAATTTGCTCATGTGCCAGAGCTAGATTCATTTGGCATTATAAGACCACGAAGGAAAGCAACGATGTGGGGAGACTTAAGCAGTATGATGATAACACAAAGACAACGATCCCCCATTCTCCTTAATACACTGTTGGGGCAAGTGCTGTTTGCGAGCACCTATGAAGGCCGGCACGGCAGACGAGAGGGTGGATGGCCAGCACCACTCCTGGTTGCATTTGTCTTCTGAGTGGTGATGTTTACACACTGCACCAGATATTAATTTGAGGCTGAGTCGACCTAGGGGGAGGCACAGAACCGGTTCAGATAATCGTCAATGGTTACCGTAGCGACGATTGAACCCGGGTTTCAAGTTTCAAGTTTCATTTATTAGGTATAGCCCTGTGAGCCATGCGGCTCTTAAGTCGGATGCAACCGCAACAAACAGAATTTGAACACAGAGCATCTTAAAGCGACAAAGCGTAACAGAAACATCCTGGAATAAACCAGCAAATATTCCACACAAAAAAAACGTATTCAAACGCTGGGTTCTTAGTGTAATGCGCTAACCACTACACTACCGCTTCCCACATATTTTATTTCGATTTAAAGCTTTCGTGACTGCAGGGATTCATCTTATTGGTTCTTTTGGTAAAGTCACGTAGAATGGAAATAAAATAATAAAACATAATCAAATAAAATTCTCACGACGTTTCGGCCACAACACAAGTAGCCTTCCTCAAGTGAAAAAACAGAACTGTCTGGAAGACAGCGCTTCAGCGTCTTTTAAGCTGCCATGCTTGGCAGTGTTTACTGAAGCACTGTCTTCCCGACAGTTCTGTTTCTTCACCTGAGGAAGGCTACTTGTGTTGTGGCCGAAACGTCGTGAGAATTTTATTTTATGTTTTATTTTTATTATTTTATTTCCATTCTACGTGACTTTTCCGAAAGAATCAAGAAGATGAACCGTGTTTGTGTGTGATGACAACACGTACACACACATGCATACATTGCACATGCGCATATACAAGCACACTCACGCAGGGATGCTCAATCTGCATCATCAGTAGTATCAGCATCGTTATCATCACCCCCTTTTTTCATTTTCATCTTTTGCATTAGTGCTGATGTTTACGTGTGGCACCAGGTACTTATTTAAGGCTTAGTTCAGCTCGGATTGGTCGGCAACCAAAATAACAAGCAGAGCCCTTTCTTTCGAATTCGGTAAAACAAAACCCTCAATATTTCAAGAGCCACAATGCACGTGAATACGAGAAGGTTCTTAGCAATGGCCAGGAATCAAACTTAGGTCAGCAGGTTCCAAACGGAGTGCACTGACCACCGCACTGTATGACTACTGTGTGTGTTGACACGCATACGTACGTGTGAGATATATAGGAGCCTGATTGATCGGCTGTTGCCATGGATGAGGATTGCATCATGATATGATAGAGTGGATTTTCCTCACCCTTTGCTTAACCTTTGACTGATCAACAAAATAGAGCAGGCTTGTGCCCCACTTATCCTCCAGATCAGGATGACACTCATCCATGTTCATGAGTTGCAAGTAATAACTGTCGCGATAATTTTCTGGTGAGGGAACTGACCACCTCCGGAAAATATACCATGGGCATGAAATTAATCCCAGGTATTTTTATTTATTTATCATAGTAATAAAGGAGTGATTGAAGCAGCCCGAACAAATGTATTGTCGTGGACCGTAGAAGTCACAGTGTAGAGCCATTTTCAAGGATGTGATTCCATTAACAGAATGCCTGAGGCTGGTGCTGTTTCTGGCACACATCTGAAAATGTGAAAAGCATTGTTGTGCCACTTAAGCAGTGGTTGCTTGGATCCAATTGAATACTATGTTAACCCGAAAGTGGTTTGCTGGATTAATAATATAAATTGTTGTATCTGTAACCAACAAAAATCATCTGCGGAATATGCCTCAGTATACTGACAGAGAAAAGTTTCGATCTATTTTCTGATAGAGCTGCATTTATTGTGTTTTTAATGTTCAGCTTTTTAACAGAAAGCGAAAGATACCACTTTGTTTGTGGGAGCTAGTTCGAACTGTCTGACCCTTTATTATTTTATTATTTATTATTTTAATAAAGGGTCAGACAGTAGAGAAAGGAGTTTGAATCGGTTCATGCCTGGATTGAGGATTACAGTCTGTGGTATCGTTGGAGGAAGGCTGGGAAGCATCAGGCAGGAGTAAGGATTGCTATTAGCAAAATGGTGAAGTTCTTGACCAACTTTGTGTCAGTTGACGAATTGATTTAATTTAGTAAGGCTATGGTTTAGACATTGCGACGTGTCAGTAGGCAAATTTTATGCACTCACGGGGACAGCAACTGGGTTGTGATGATCTCTCACGACAAGAGAACTTCAAATGCCCAGGTACGAGTCAAGTATGATGAGTGAGGGCATGTACTTGGGCAGCATGAAATAGGACAGCAGAATTATAAAGCAACTACGATAATTGGGCTTTGTGTTCTTTACTAGTGTATACTATTCTTGGTTCTTTCGGTAAAGTCACGTAGAAGGGAAACAATAAAATAATAAAATATAAAACAATAAAATTCTCACGACGTTTTGACTGCAACACAAGCAATCATCATCAGGTGTGAAAACCACAGCAAGAAATTTGAAAAAAGTGCGTTTTTTAATTATTTTATTGTTTCCCTTCTACGTTACTTTACGGAAAGAACCAAGAATATGAATCCCTGCAGTCACGAAAGCTTTAAATCAAAATTTAGTGTATACTAGTAAAAAATACGGTTTACCAGAAGATATTCTAAAACCAGCTGACCATTGTCTAAATAACACATCTCTTATGGAGAGGAGACTTCTTTAAACAAAAGGAAGGAGCAGCAATGGGCTCTCCTTTGTATCCGGCTATAGCAAATCTGTACATGGAAAACTTTGAAACAAGAGCACTTGCCTCAAGTACATTAAAACCATATTTTTGGTTTAGATATGTCGATTACACTTTGGTTGTCTGGCCACATGGTAAATATACATATAATGAATGTTTTAATATTCTCAATGCACAAAACCCGGCCATCCAATTCACCATGGAAATGGAGGTGAACAACACACTCCCCTTCTATTTTGCTTGGACGTGGTCAAAATGGTAAAATAACACACAGCGTCTACCGAAAGGGAATGCACACGGATGCCTATCTGAATGCAGATTCGCATCATCACCCAGCACAGAAATCTTCTATCAGCAAGACCCTCATACATTGGGCAAAAACAGTGTCAGATGCTGAAAGTCTAAGGAGAGAGATTAAACATGTTCAAGAAGCACTACGACTGAATGGCTGCAATCATGCTCAAATTAACAGAGCATTGAATGCCAAACCAAGACCGAACAACAAAACTGCTGAAAGTGATCAGATCATGAAAACAATTAAAATGGCATATATCTAGGGAGTTACTGACAAATTAGCCCGTGTTTTGCAAAAGCAAAACATTGAAATAAGATTTGGTATGGTACACAAAATTCAAAAACTAGTGTCTTGTACTAAAGATGAATTACCGAAGTTATCAACAGAAGGTGTATATCGGATCAATTGCTTATGCTGGTAAGTGTTATATTGGACTAAAAGAGCACCAAAGGAACATTAAATTATCTCAAACACAGCTTTCAGCAGTGGCAGAGCATGCTTGCCAACAAGGACATTCAATTGATTTTGATAACGTTGAAGTGTTATGCAAAACTAATTATTACTGGCCAAGGCTATTTAGAGAATCGAAATTGAGAAGGATACAAAAATTTCAACCACTGTGATAGCTACAGACTCAGCGCAGCCTGGAAGCGTATTATAAAGTAATACACAATTCCTTATAGAGGAGTCACATGCTAAGTGGCTGATTACTGATCTATTACATAATTGCAATACCCCCCGCCTCTGCTCTCGAAACCTGATTGGGTTCAACAATGATGACGTCATCCTAAATAAAACAACAAAAATCACATTTTACTTTTTACCTACGTGACTTTACCGAATAGAACCAAAGAGTATGGATCCTTGCAGTAACGAAAGCTCCAAATCTAGAATTGATAACCTCTACGGGGAGGGCTTTCACCTATCTGTTAGAGCTTTCAACAGACAACGGGACAAGAAGTCACAGCTCATCGAGATGCTCACCTTCCTCAAAAGATGCCGCGACCACAAGCTTAAAGGACGCGACCTGGGCTTGACTGTCTTCATTCCAATGCTGTCCTCGTGACAGTACGGTCCCTTCACCTGATGAAGGCCACTTGTGTTGTGGCCGAAACGTCGTGATTTTTGTTGTTTTATTTTTTACCTACGTGACTTTACTGAATAGAACCAAAGAGTATGGATCCTTGCAGTCACGAAAGCTTCAAATCTAGAAAGTAACATTCCAAGTGTTTAATCAATGTGTACAACCTGCTATGACATGAACAAGATACATTGTAATTTACACTTTTGGTTGCAAAAACTGAAAATTATGCAAATAAGCATAGATGGGTACATGCTTGGGATTACACTGAGAGAAAAAGATCAATGCTTGCATCAGAGAACATGCACACTTTAACGACAATTCAAAATGTTAAGAAAAGTAAGTGGGCTTGGGCAGGATGCGTTGCTGAAAAGGAGGCAAGTGATGGAACACGTCTGATAGGACGTTTACCGAGGAGGTGAAGTGATGATTTCAGGATGCGCATGTCTTTGTTGGACTTGCATTTCAGGATCATGAGAGATGGTGGTGGCTTGGGGAGGTTATTCATCAGCAGTGAATTGATCATGGCTGATAATGAAGTGAAACAATTATATGCCATGTGTCGAGAGATATATGGGGCCTCTGTATTATTTGCGAGCTTAATGTTACATGTTATCACAAGCTAAAAAAATATACATTTTCTACTACGAAAAATGTTTTTTACACCAACTTTAAACTTGGAAATACATTCAAGCAATCGCAATGCAACATGATGTGATACATAATTTTATAATGTAATTCAATGTAACATTGAGTAATTCTACAGTCGGTTATAACATGACATTCATTTATCATTAATTTATAATTTATTAAATAGTATTACAGTTTAAACAGCGTATGAAACATGTTCATATATTCTCAGAAAGTGTAATATGCAATGCAGTGGGGTTTATTCATTTTCTAACTCATGCTATGAAAGTTACAATATTTTTGTATTTGTATACATTGATTTAGACATCACTACAGTTATTTTGTTTCTTTAAAAAATATATTGTATTATTGTCTACAAAATGTACGTGTATTCATGTTGGGCTTTTATTATGAGGATTGGACTGATGACTCAAGGGTTTTGTACAAGGCAGATTGTACTTGCACCTCCTGTCTTGGTTGTGCCCTTGCTGTTTTACCTCTACTCATATGCAGCGCTGTGCCCTTTTGTTTTTCAGAGATTTTCTGCTGTGGAAAATGGCACCATGTCCCATTTTTCTTTAACTCCTTAATGCAGGAAAGATCAACAGACTGAACGTGCTACACCCCCAAACAGTTTTCGTTGTTATTTTTAAACAGCTACATGAAGTTTATGTAACGTATAAGGCACCCATGGTGTTTTATACAAGTCAATATCTTATACAGATATACCTTCCAAAACTCGTGTTAAAAATGTTTTCTGGTGAGGATAAAAAAAGAGACAAACACAGGACACCTGATTACAATGACTCAAGAATTGGGAAATTAAACTCTACACAAACAAAAACTCCAAAACTTTCATCCAGGCTCAAGAACACGATGAAGAAAATGACTAAGAGTCGTGCGAGTTGGGCTGGTGATGATGTGGAGACAAGGAGGACACGTGATGCAGAATTGTCTCAAAATCCTTGGCCTAGCACAGTCAAAGGTTTAGGAAGAATGTCCCTCCATGAGGAGTCAGGCCACCTGTCAACAGAAATTGAATCTGATGGAAGTGAATCTGATGGCTGCTTGGAACAGTTACCAAAATGTAGAGTGGCATGTGAAACAAGGACTTCTGTCTCTTTTACTCACAAGAATCATGAAGATGTAAAAAGTCAAACACTCCCTGGTATGCCTGATCATAGAAAACTTCCAAAGCATCCTTTCAAGCTATCTTCACAAGTCAAATATGCTTCATGGTCTGCAGGCTGCAAGGCATTCCAAAAGTTTAAAGTGTGGAAAAGAACAGGTCATGACAACACTTCTCACAATACGGAAGGATACAGACACCAACGTTTGCAAAAGTCCATGTCACAACAAGATCGCGTTATGACTTCATCTCAGGAGTCAGAGGATATTCTGAATAAGACTCACAATGTCATGGAAAAGATATTTCAAGAACTTCAAGGTATAAGTCGAATTGAGCTTGAAATTGTAGAACTGAGGGACCAGGTTCAAGCGCTGAAGCGTTCAGTCAGAGAAATATCTCAAAGTGTGGAAGTTGTACAGACAGAAATTGAACAATTGCAATCTGGGTTTGTTCAAGTGAAACACAGTAATGTACCGACAAATGCTTATTTTGACCATGAAAACCAATCTGGAAATGGCCTCTGTTTGTATTTCATAAATGTTCCAGAACAAGAGAATGAAAATTGCACCAATGTTATCTATGATATTTTTTCTGAGAAAATGGGTATGACAGATGCCACACAAACTGTGAGAGTCGAAAGTGCTTTTCGGTTGGGGGAAAAGAGAAACAGTCTTTCAGTCAAACCAAGGCCTATAGCAATTAAAGTTGCTAATATTCAGGAGAAAGAATTAATTCTTAAAAAGTGCTACAGATTAAAAGGCATGAGTATTAAAATCAGGACTGCAAACGCTGTACAAAAACAGCCAAGTGTATTATCTTTACCTCGAGTATATACTTCATCGAAACAAATTTACTCTCTGCAGGAAGCTCAGACCTTATCTATGGACTCAAGTGATGATGACTTCACCAGAAGAAGTGTAATGAGTCAAAGTTCTGCTCAGTCAGATGCAGTGTTTGAAAAAATGATGTCCTCTGCAAAACGTGATCATTACAATATAGAGCTCCACCATTCTGATTCACCTCATAACAGACATACTGAAATGAACCTGAACCTTTCCAAACTTGTGTCTGAAAATGAGGAACTATATCATCCATTGCCTGAGCAGCAAAACTTTGAACACAGTGAGGTATCCGATTGTGATTATCTGTCAGAAGATACTCCCATTTTAAAATCAAAGTTGTCATCAGATAGTGGAACATCCATCGATGAAAATGAGTTTTGGCCAAAAAGCCACTTCCAGATTCCACATATAGCATATATGGGCACTTCCATGAATAATGATGATCCAAGTGTGTGTGAAGATACAAAAACATTTGTTTTTGTAAAGGAAGACATTGTGGATAGTTATGGTATTGAAACATCACAGTTTGATGTAAAAGAGGAATGGAATAAAAACGATACAAACGAGATAGAATGGGATAATGTGCAGACAATTACTCCTGGACACGAGGATCCAGATGCTAATGACAGCCTCAGTTTGCATTGGGACAACCAGGAGCAATGTGCTTACAATACTGATGAGGATTCAATTGAAAACCATTCATTTGTTTCTGATAACATTCCTGTGGAAACAGAAAAAACTATTGATATATATCCAAGCTCAATTGATGATGGTTGTGCAAACGTAATTGCAGTAGAACAAGACAAGAATCGTAGTAGTTGGCCTGAACTCGACAAGTTAGAACCATCTCAACCTGCTGATATTGACTGGCATTCAAATGAAATTTACAGCAGTAGTGGTGACTGGGAACAAGTTCACATTTACAGTGATGAGACTGAGTGTAATCAAGGCGAATCACAACAAGAACATGACATTTGTTTAGAGCAGCATCAGAGCCTTGATAGTGGACGTCAACAGGCAGACATTTTTGAAGATGATTGTTATAATGAATTGACACCTGAGCAGGGACAGCTGCATGAACAAAACGAATGTATCGTTCAAGAAACGTATGCAGATTCTTACAGCATACAGGATATGGAACAATTGAATACTCATGATGAGTGGCCACAAGTCAATCAAAGCTGTGACTCTGAAGTTGAGCTTCAACAAGTAGAAGCAAGTACAGATTTTTTGTACAGTACATCAACATCAGATTATCCAATTCTTGACAACGACAGCATAACTGACCAGGAGTTAAGTTGGGAAGGCCAGCAGGAGGATTGTAGTCAGACAAGTGTTCCCTCTCCTACATCTATCGCTGAAGCTAAAGAAGAGAGATTTTTTGTGAGCTCTTTGAAGAGAGGCATGCACTTGCTTGGCATGAGCAGATTCTCACTTCAGGAGAACTCAACGGAAGTAGAGTTGTCCTCACAACATAAGAGTCAACTTGCTTTCCATAGCCAGAGTGAGCTGTTGGATAAAAGGCACAACGAGGAGATGATTGTCTTACAGCAGAGACAGCAAGCTGACGAAAGGCCTGAAACAGTTGGAAGCTTCAGCTTTCGGCGATTTAGTAGCAGCACGCTGCAGCATGCAAAGTCAGCACTCGGGTCAGTATTTAAATTAGAAAGTACGAATAGCTCTCAGAGCTACATTTCCAGCATTGATACGAGTTCTATCAGTCAGGAGAAGCTTTCTGCCACCATCACCTGCTCAAGAGATGACAGTGACCTGCATTTCCAGAGAACAAATTCAGAAATTGGGGCATGTGCAGATAATATTTTGAAAACAGGAGAAAGTAACTATGTGGAAGTTATGGAGGAAGTTTTAGCAAAATTGGAAAGACGAGAAGCAGTACAGAGTGCTTCACCAGATGCCACGCAAGAACCTGTCATAGGAAATACAGAATTTGAAGATTGTAAGTTGAGCTTAGGGGAAATTATTTCCAAAAACAAGTTGCCATCACCCGACAACAAAGGAGAGCAATCAAGCTCGAATAAAGAAGGGCTCCCATGTATTGACCCACCTAATGCAGTGATGGTGATTGACAGCCATCAAGATGTAGCAGACATAGAGCAGCACATTAATGCCACAGGTGAGGAAAACAAAACTGTTGCGACTAAAAGTGAACAGACTGCGGTAGACGAACAGAATTCCACCACGAGGTATTTGGCAAATTTCAAAAAGGCCTTAGAAGCAAAAAACAAACCAAAACGGCCCACGTTTAAGTCAATTGTGCAAAGGACTCAAGCGAGGCTGCTGGAAGAGAAGGGGCTGTTGGAAAATGCACAAACAAGTAAGCCATTTCTCATCTTTATTAATGAAAAATATCTGGGAAATACACAGCTAGTAATTCAGTACTTACAGTGTGTTCGATGTACATATGAGTTATTCTTCTTATATAATCTGGGTATTTGCACAACTAAAACAATTCTGCATTTCAGTATATGTTCTAAAAACGGACTGAAATTTCACAGCAATATATCTTCCAATTTTTGGAAGATATCTTGGAATGTTCTAATCAGCGGAAAGATTTGAAGGCACATCGAACTGGCAAGGCCATGTAACTGTGATGTCTGATAGTTATTTTAACATAGGATTTTCTCCTCACAATAAACAGGTTTTCCTTCACTCTTATTCCAAGCTGTGTCGGCCACCAGACAGTACAAACCAAACTCAAAAGTTCCTGGAGGTCACGACTCTCATGGCAGAAACTGAACAAGCCAACAACGAGCACGACCCGCACCATCCCATAGTCAAGCCTCACCAAATGCAGATCGGCGTACCTGTAGTATTAACCATGAAGAATTAGCAACATCCTGCCAAACCTTTCCTCCAAACCCAATCAGTTAGGAGGAGGTGGGTGGGAACTGGATGTGCCAATGACTGTTTAAGGAAGCCAGGGCTTAATGCGATTACTAATGCCTCGTTTAGCTTGCAGGGATCATTATCAAGTCCCTCATGCCAGAGCCAAGTAAAAGAGGTGAGAATAATAAACACAACACTAGCTCGCCCACAAATTCACTTCCAAATCAGTGTCTTTCACCAGCATGTATTTGGATTTATAATGCTTCCCAACCGTAGGAAGGTAGGAAAGTTTCATAATAGATTTTTGGGTCAGATCATGTGAGCAACATGTGTGTCGTACACCCTCCTCCACCTGACACTGCCTATTAATAATGTTGTCACGTGAACATATATGTCAATGTATTACGGCTCTTGCACGTTGGTGTGTTGGAAAGCAATCCACTAGCAATCACTGTGAGTTACAACCAGCATCATTGGGCAGTTGCCAGAATTGTTGTAAGAAGGCTCCAATGTGCTGCCCTGCACATCTTACACAGAGATGCCAAGAGACTGCCATCTACCTTGTTGAATGTGGATTACATACCCTGGGGGCCAGAGGTCCATTCTGCTTGCATGCGTCATGAAAACCGGCATTAATCCAGTCCTGAATGATTTTATTTTGAGGCTGCCAAGCAACTCTTATTTACCCCAAATAGCTGCAAACGTGGCTCAGACTCTTTCCATTCCCCTAGCTGTCTGAGGTAACAAGACAGAGCTCTGACCACATTCACACTGCGCATAACTCTCTCTCATGCTCTGACTGAAAATGTACCAGATAAAACAATGGACAAATAATTTCATGAATCGCATCGAAATCGGAGAAAACATCGGGAGTTAATTCAGGTCAGGTCCACAAAACAGCTCTATTCGCCTGCAATTTAGTAAACGAAGGATTGGTTGAACCTCGTGGAGATCATTGCTACCAGCCTGAAGGGTAAACCATCCAGAGTATTCAGCATCAGCTGAAGGTTCCATGGGCATACCATTGTTCTGATCACCAGGCAAACCTATTGCACTGGCCATCAATATTCTGAAATATACCTCTCGCAGATCTTACTGGCCTGTTTTGGTCTCATCTTCGAATGCTGAAACTATCGCTACCTGACTATCACAACTGTGAAAGAACAGTATTTCTCAATTTCTTTCATAAGAGTCTAGTGTTAACATGCAGACTGGACTTTATAGGATGTTGGTGCCTCTGGCAGTTACAACTGCAAGGACCTCCACCAATATCTGCTCTAAAATTTCGAAGTCGATGACTTCCTGACCCTCAGCAACAGGTGCTTGACTTTTTATGACAGATCCTGTTGTCATACCTTTCCCTTTCAATGGCCATGCCATCAGCGCAAACTTGTTCCAGGACGAACAAAGTGCCTCCCTATGCATTAGCAGGTCATGTTTGCTCAGCAGTTGCCACGGTTTGCCCATTAGTAGTTACATCCAGTCAAAGAACCATGAGTGGCATCCCCAGGTGGAGAAGGGTGGGAACACATATGCAGCTTCTGCTACCCAAGAGACTACCAGAGCATGTGTTGCTACCACTCCTTTTGCCATGAACCATGTGCAGAAATGACTTGGCTGTAAATTCTCCTCGGATACAAGCAAGTCTATGAATAACTCGCCGAAGATGTGTTTCAGACTAGCGGACAATTCAGAATGCAGAGACTACTACCCAGGATCAAAGCCCTTCCAGCTTAGCCAATCTGCCATCACTTTGCCCTGCCAGATACCTGGATGACAGAGAGAACTGGGTTACCTCTGTCCACAACAGAAGGTCCTCATACTCTCGTGTTAGAATATTGTGCTGAGAAGGGCCCTGTCTCTCTAATAATTTGTTTCTGCTGTGATGTTGCATCGAATCAGCACCGACTTTCTTCCACCATCGCCCTTGATACCATCAGAGACAATTTTACTGCTCTTAGCTAAAAATATATATATTTTTGGACCTGCAATGCAATTCCCAGTCAACAAGCCATCCATCTACTTAGAATTGTGTCCGACTTTAAGAGGACCAGGGATCCCATAAACATTCCCACTTTCAGATTACCTGTGCTCAGCTACCAATTCAGGTACACAGATGCGTCTGAAACATCTCCAGAGCCATTATCTAGCCAAATCTGGTACTCTATTGTTTCATGCAAAGCCATTGGATGGCTTTTAACCTCAGCTTCATCCAGGTGGCCATTTACATTGCACTTTTTCTGTTGGAAGAACTTATATCCTGAGGCTTGTCACCAATGGAACCAGGACCTTGATGGAGACTGTGAGGAACCCTGACGGGTGAAAAGGATGAACAATTAAATTACAACCACCCCACCATCACTAATATTTCCAATACCACCATAACTATCATTCTTAACACCATCAATGTCATTATATAAACAGACACATGGACACACGCTCCTGAACACTGCCATGGGGTGCTCTTGAAACATGGCCACATGCCAATGGGAGCACGTGCTGCACGCCTGCCCCCAGCCATGGGTGCATGTGCACAGTGCCCGGCTCTCATAGAGTTGCGTGGGGAGCGATGTCCCCCATCATTGTGGTTGTGCCTCTGGCTGGATGAGCAGTGAGCTTCCTGCTCTCATTTGGGAGCATTGATATGCCACGCTCTAACATCAGAGGGCAGTTACTGTCATTTTTAGAGGCAACAATATGACGGTCAAATATGTGACATCCCATTGTCTTAATCAGTGATGTCAGAGCAACCATATGAAATATATAGACGTTTTAACATTTTTACACAGTTGCATTTAATTATATGTAATTATTTATGACTGAAATACAGTTTCAGACATACATTACTCATTGTTTCTAAACCCCTCTGCCTTATCTATTAAAATAGTCAGCATGCACTCAGAATTATATGGTTTGTTTTTAAGATACTTATAAATGTTGTAGTGATAGGTTTAAAATATAATTTTAAATGTTTTATAAGCTGCGCACTTTCCTACTAAATTTTAATGTACATGGCACATTTATTTTTAGATATGTCCACAAATATTTTTTTTATATTGCAGTTTTTCCATTCCTGTATCTGAAATAAATACAAATCAGATATCAGGGTGCTCTATATAAAACAACATCCGCAACCACTCAGCATCATCAGTTTTCATCATCATAATAAACATCAAATGTAATTTTTCACCTTTGTTAATTGCATAGATTCACATCTGTAGATTTTTTTTATTCACACCTCCGTAGATTTTATAGATAAATAACATTCTAAATATATTTATATTCATAACATAATAATTGCTACAGATTTACCACGACTGTAGTTTCTCACCAGTTTAGAAGCTGTAGATTCTCATCAATGTAAATTTATCCACTAGTAATTGGGTAACGTTGCTGCTAATTCTGATTGACTACCTATTGCATGAGCTAAAGCACCGATAATAGCAATATAGCACTTTCAGGAAGACTGCTTCTTAATGGGAAGAATTTGCCAATGCTTCTGGGTCAGGGAAGAATGCAGACCAAAAATAATAGGAAGGTGCACGGGTGGCTTTGGGAATCTAGATATTATGTACGAGGAAAATAAAAAATCTTTGCATAGTTTATTTTCATGGCAGCAGAAGACCAGCAAGACTTGGCAGTGTGCGTTATTTGACGTGATTTATTACAATCAAATTGCCTGGTGGTAAATCTCACTACCCTCTGTAAAGATGTATGTCGTCGTGTTCTTGTAGACCAAGGTAAAGAATAAAATGATCGTGCTGTGTATTTCCCAGTGTTTATTTTCAAGCCCTTAAATGTATGAACTACATTGGTTTCTTATTTCATGATCTCTAACTTGTTTATCTTCTTCTTTTTTACACAGAGGTCAGCTGAGACGAAAGGAAGAATTATCTGTATCCATATCATGCTCATTCTTCCTATTTGCCATCTTCCCCCGTCCCTGACATCCCATTTCCAGTTTGCACTAACCTATTAAGCAGTCAGAAACACTTGGAACATCTTCAGTTTCACGAAGCAATGTACTGTACAGGAGCTCATTTTTACCTAAAATATAATGGATCAAATATTAATGTCATGTACGATGTGGCATACGACCAAAAGTGTCTAAACATTTTAATAATTCAAAATATGTCAACATGTGTATTCCACACCCTTAAAAACCTCACAAATGTTATAGACCTAAGCAATGTTAAGTTAAAAACAACTGTCCCTCAATGATGCAGGGCCCAACATAAATGCATTTCTTTTGGGGATGTTTCTTTAGAGTGTTGTGAGTTTGATTCTAGGCCATGGCTAGCATTAATCACAAGTGATATCTGAACTGGCCCTGGGCCCCACCCTCTTTACCAGCCCACACTAACCAGTGTGGTTAAATATGGTCACATTTCTCACATGACTGGCACACAGCATAGGGAAGACCCTGAGAAGTATGTGTCCATTTAATTGGTAGTTGGAAGTTTCTAAATTAATTTCCTAAGGTTTTGTATTGGCATCGATTCACATAATTGTAAGATAAAGAAAGGCTTTAGAAGGTGATTATTCTGTCTGCTGGTGATGTCCTGTAACAATTTATTCTATAGTTGCTCTTGATAGCCTAGCAGGGCTGAGCAATAATGCCCACGAGCAAACTGGAACTATATGCAGGGTATGCTGTAATACTGAGTATTCTTTACCAACAAATCTTTAAATTAAATCATTTGAAAATTCTGTAAAAATCTGAATACCCAGTAATGTGCATTTTAAATGCAAAAAATATATTTTAATGGTATATTTACTTATCACCTCTTTTAGGTTGATGTTAATTTGATGAATATACATTTTACACATTGCTGGAGATTGTTAAAATGGCCAGTGAATATACATCACAAATGATGAAACTATTATTATATAAAATATGTTATGTATATTATTTATCTGATACAAAATATAGTTCATTCTTCACATACCCTTCTCCACAATGGTGCCATTTCCACAGTGGTTTTATGTTCAACTCAACTGAAAGTTGAGTTTTGTGTTTGAGGTATGTGTTTATGAGCTATGTGTTTGAAATGTGTGTGGTATAACATGTGTGCAATACTGTATGCAATGTTAAAAAAAATCTGTTGAAAGCAGGAGTTTTTTGGTCTTTTCTGAACTGTCATGTTTAATTCATGCTTAATTCAAATTTTTACTTACACTCTTTGTTGTCGAGTATTTAATTACTGTATGAACGTGCATTCAAAACAATGTATATATGTTTTAGATTTGTCAGTAACGAAGCTCTTTGCCCCCTTCAGGCAAATGAAAGTCGAAGCTTCTCTCCGTTCAGCTTGGTAGTAGGGTAAGTGTTGGCAATACCTGGAATCCCAAATGTAATGTGTGGCTGTGCTGCGTGACTTACAATACATTCTGCATTATATTCGTTCTGAAGATCTTTAACAAGAAGAAATCGCCTACTAAAGTGAAATAAATGCATTAATCTTGTTGACATTAATGCATGGTGACATTGTGTTGTCTGTTATTAAACAAGGGGGCCTCCTACGTGTTCTCAGCATGCAACATAGTCAGGATGGTTGCCTCTGTCTCTCTGATGCTATTATTTTGTGCATTGCATTTGGAATTAATTGGAGGCTGATTGAACATAGAGGAGGCCTGCATCTTATTACCTTGAGAATAGCATACTGGCATGCAGGGCTCCATTTCCCGGCACACACACGTGGCATGAACACATGCATCGATCATTTATTTCATGATGAACATTCATATGCATGCTATGTATAGAAATTCTTCGAAATTTCCATTTCTCCTATATACTAGATGTATAATCATGTAATTTACAATTTCAGAAAATGTTTTTTAAATCTGTATGACTGTTTTACATTAACAGTAATATATAGTCAATATACAGCATCCTTTGATTTAAAGCTTTCGTGACTGCATGAATTCATATTCTTGGTTCTTTCGGTAAAGTCACGTAGAAGGGAAACAATAAAATAATAAAAATATAAAACAAAATTATCACGACGTTTCGACTGCAACACAAGCAATCATCATCAGGTGTGGAAACCACAGCAAGAAAATTTTGAAATCTTTTTTCTAGATTTTGAATTATTTTTTCTAAATTTCTTGCTGTGGTTTTCACACCTGATGATGATTGCTTGTGTTGCAGTGGAAACGTGAGAATTGTATTGTTTTATATTTTTTATTATTTTATTGTTTTCCCTTCTTCGTGACTTTACCGAAAGAACCAAGAATATAATATATAGCATCATATAAAATATTGTACTTGTTCTGCCAATGCAAATTACACTTCTCAGATTGAGTCATTGACAGTCATGAATGTTAATGTTGTATAGACTAGATTGCAATAAAGAATAGTTGGTAAATCCAACTAAAATTAGCTTAAATAAAATATGTATTTTTGCATTATATATTGTTTACTGTTTAAGTTCGACATATGAGCTATAAACGTGTGAACAGCAACGGGAAGAAACCATGGTGGCTTGGCTAGTGCCCTGATGCCTCGTTCCCTTCCAATTTCCCTCTTTCTCCCATTTTTACACCACTCTGCAATTCCACCAATACCCCTTGCCCCTTAATGAAATTGTCATTATGGGCCTTCAAAAGGTCTGGTCGTTATGGTAATGGATCCAGTGCAGCTGTTCAAATCTTATGGCATATATACGTTTACAATTTTTACGTTTTATAGATTGTAAGGATTTAGCTTCTTGAAACACGCTTCATTTTCCCACGTTTTAGCAAATACATCTGTGAATTCAGCTCCATTTTGAGGCGTAATCCTTCATGTTAGGGGCCATCATCCATTTAGTACGTATGCAAGGAGGGGGGAGGGGGGGTTAACCCAAATGCGTACGCTTGCATGAGGGATCTACTGACAATGTACCTACGCATAGGAAACGGGGGGGGGGGGGAGGGGGGGTGTGAAGCCTCTATAATAATTTGTCTACATTGGCCTTCAAATGAGCCACAGTTCAGTGTCTCCAGCTGTCAGACAACAAGTACTACCGGGAGAAGTAGGACTGTGGGAGAGGCGTCACTTGTAAATGCCACCGTGCCCCTGACTGCAGCTATCACGCAGCTCAGCAAAATAAGTGGCCAAGGTACGCAACTTAATTCTTTAATGCAACCGGCGGTGGACTATCTGTCTGCTTAAACACGTTCATAGTATTAATCCTTGATCGTTTCAGCGTGGATTAAATATCGGCCGTTCTCTAGGATTTGGGGGGGGGGGGGGTGCGTCAAGCGTGCGTACAGGGAGTGGGGGAGGGGTAAAGTTTTGACAGATGTTTGCGTACGTACTAAATGGATGGCCCCAAAACACAAGGCTATTACAATATATGTTCCATCTTAATATATGCACAGTATTATTTATGTATTAAAATATTTTCACAAATTTCCATTTTGCTTAAATATTGTCCGTAATTGTTTTCTGGAGATGACCACAGAATTAAATTTTTTTATCAGTATTATAACGTACAATAACTGAAAATCTAACCAATGTGAGTTGTTTTACGCGTGCTTTAGTTAGAAAAAAATGTTTTAAAAACTTGGATAATTCTAAAATGAACACATACTGAGGCACACAAAGATCAAAGAGCACTCCTATAGGCTTATTGACTGTTGGAATCCGTGCTGCAAGTGAGCATCTGTTAAGGCTGAAATGGTACACAAGGGGCTGATGTGGTGACCACCATGCCAAACACCATTGTCTCCCCTGTGCTAAAATGTGCACACCTCACTAGCTTCTCATTAAAGCTGAGATGACCTAAGGGAGACCCAGGGCCAACTCAGATATCAGTCACCACTGGTTTTAGCTGTGACTGAGAATCACACTCAATATTCTGGGTCCGTAGTGCAGATCGACAACCTCCGATCCACCACTTACCACAACACACGATGTCATGCCATAAACATTAAAAAAAACTAAAATACAAACACACCGAGATACATAATACATACAAAGACATAATTCAGCATTATGGGCTGTTGGGAATATGTTGTTTGTGAGCACTGGGTAAGGCTGGCGCTGTGTGTAAGAGGGTGGTGTTGCCTACACCATGCCCAGCTGTATGTCTCTCCAGTACAGTACTAAAGTTTACACACTGCATTGGGTATTAATTTTGGACTGAGATGCTCTTCTGGAAGTCCAGGAGAGATTCAGAAACTACTTGCCACTGAAGTTACCTTTGGCTGGGATTCAAACCAAGGTCACCAGGTTACTTGATCAGCTGCGATTACTAACAACCTACACACACAAGATAAACTTCCACATGCTCATGTATACGAACGCACAGACACATGAAACACACTCAAGCATACACACAAATACACAAGACAACATGCCCGTATAAAGGGGACACACGCCTATGATACTTGTCCAGAAACACAAGCGTGCACACACAGGACCTCATCCCATCCTCATCTGCTCTCCTGTCCCCCACTGAGTGATTGCACCACAATCCCTTCCCTCCTTAGCTTCGCTCTGTACACCCTCGCTTTCTGCTCCCCACTTCATTGATTTCTATTGTTTAGTGTAGAATCAGATTTGGTTAAGCAATTTCTTTTTTATCCAATCGGTATCCGACTGACAAAATTACGATGCCATTTAGCAATGTTGGATTGGAGTCAGCTCATTTAAATGTTCATTTATTTGCCATTTCATTTTATTCAGTTCTCCAATTGGAAAAAATGACTTGGTGTGTGTGCTTTTGAAAATGCTTTGTGGCAGAAAGCTTCCACAGTAAAAAAAAACATTTTATAAAATGGCATTCGCGGAAATCTTCCAGGAATAATTGTGAAATCTCCCATTGAATAGTCACATTGTATGGTGCGCAAGCGAGGGCCGGTGTTTCCACGCGGAAGGCAAGCGAATCTTGAAACGGGGGGAGGGGGGGGGCGGGATTGTGCAGCGTTTCTGTCACAGCACGCAATGACACCACTGCATACGCGGTGCAGGGAGTGTACACACTGTCCACATATACTACAATGCATGCATTTGTGTTTTTGTTAGTGTATATTATTTGGGCCGCAGGACCTGTTTTTTGCAAGGCCAAACAGATGTCCTGGTAGTTATTTTTTTTATGAAGGCAAACCGTATCTATTGAGTATAGCAGCTCGGGAATTCTGGTAATTTATCTTCTGGGAATGATCCTGACAAAGATAATTATACAATATAATTTATCCAGGAAAACCTGGCTGTCAAAAGTTAAAAGCCTCAACCACATTCGTTAATAATACTGCCTTTTAAAATATATATAATACATCACGTTTCAGGCAATGGCACTTCATAGCCTTTGGCCGAAACGTCATCTATTATCTTGTTCTTTTAAGGCAGGGTTATTGACTAACGTGTTGAGTTTTTTTTTCATCTGTTATTTATGCTGTGTTCCAGTGCCAACTTAGTGTACATGTTTTCGCAGAGATATGTAGAGGCTTGGCAGTATGCTTTCCTATGCAAATGATCTAAAGCATCAGTGTTTATACACACGTGGGAATCGTGCGTAGACATTAACACGAATGTCTTGTGATGTATTTATTTTTCTAGCTCGTGGGTGTCGGACATCTTTATTCTAGTGGTAGGAGGTAGAGCTGATGGATAGTCTGATTCATATATACACGAGGTGCTTAAGAGGTGGCAGTATAGCAACATCAATTGGCCGTGACCAGTCTTCACAGACCTCTTGAGGGTATTCTCCTGCGGCTCCAGTCTCTCCCTACGTACAAAACAGCTCTAAAAGAGACTTGTCTGAAAATTCCTCCCCGTTAAAAATAATTTGGCCGGCTTTGCTTATCTGCAACGGTGCAAAACTCAATAACAGACGCTTAAAAGTGGCGAAAACAAATAATGTAGTGCTCGTTTTTGCATTGATTTGTTCGCTTAATAACTAAATCTAGCTTCAACCCAACTGCTGTGGATAACTTTAGGTGGATGGATTTTTTAAATGAATGTCCCCGATAAATCAAGCAACACTTTATAACTAGGCAAGAGGCCTGATTATTTTTTAAGGGGTTTTCAAATACTTTCAGGTCAGCCTTTTTGGTAAGATACAAGCTTACATCATTTAGACGACATTCCTATTGGTAGATATTTGTTTCCATATGTTAATAACGTGTAAACAGTACCACAAGTACATATCATCAAGGAAGACAGAATAACGTTTCTGTTCAGCACTAAATAGACCATGTAAGAGCTGTGGGCAGTGGGAGCTAAACCAATGTTTGGAATTATTTGAAATTCAAGTTAAATTTGTTTGCAAAATGTAATAACTGATTAAATGAAATAACTTCTGGATTTAAGTATAGAGATTATTTACGCATACA